TCATTTCCACTTTATTATCGCTTTCTGGTCCACGTGTGATAACATCCCTAGAGAGGCTAAAGTGGCTGCCTTCATGATGTGTTTCTGCTGGTGGATGGAGACTTTCAACAGGCCTTTTGAAACTGACTGTTGATGGAGAATGGCTTTTTCACAACAAACAAAAAGGTGTTGACATTTGTCATGTTTTCTCATGCTCTTAGCAAGAGGAAGGGAAGGAGATTCAGATCCCAAGAGAAAGCCTGAGGAAAATGACACCCATAATATTGTTAGCTTCCCGAATCTCCAAAGGCTCTCTTCTTTAACAGCATCACAGAAGTAGATGTACAAAGGAGCTATTGTTTAGCTGAGTGATGCACCAGAGCTTTAAAATATAATGAGTGATGCTGTCACTCTTCACTTCACCTTCAATACATAAACCTCAGGGTCAAGGAGGGGTGGTAGTTGACAAGCACACTAGCCAGAAATAGAGGCCCAGGGGTACTTATGTACAAGTAGCTTAGCTGTAGCTGTGAAAGGCTTTTTGAGAAACAGTGAAATAGTGTTTGGTAGAAAGCAGAAAGATAAAGGCCACCTGCGAGGGTAGCTTTCCACTACCCCCACTCCCACTTATATCCTCTAGAAATCAGGATATAATCTGAAGCACTGAAACCATCCTTTAAAGCAGCAACAGCAGGTCTGCAACATGGAGGTTTGGCATATACACATGGGCTAGTATCATACCCTTTGAGAAACTGCCTGTTTCTGGTAGAGAATAGTGCTGCTCACACTGGTATGAAATCATGGAAATGTTGTTGTTGTTGTTGTTGTTTGCTTTCAAGTTGTTTACGACTTATGGCAACCCTAAGACAAAATTATCATGGGGTTTTCTTGGCAAGTTTCTCCATAGGGGGTTCACCATTGTTATCAACTGAGGGTCAAAGAGTGTGATTTTCCCAAGGTCAGCCCAGTGGGTTACATGGTTGATCCTGGATTCAAACTCTGGTCTCCAGAGTCATACCCCAGCACTCAAACCACTACAACACTGAGATGCAGTCAAAATAGCATTCCCATACTCTGTTTTTCTCCTTCAAGCATATCTCATCACACAGGAATAGCATACATGTTCCTGTTTCTGCCTCTGGGATAAAAACACAAACAAAATGATGACTTTTCAACTTAACGTAAGAAATTGAAGAGGACATGACATTGTGATCCTAGTTTTGGTTGCATCCCCTGAATTCATTTAACCAGTTATTCCACAACAAGGTAACAATATTTCCATGGCTCAAGCAAATTTCATATTCATCAGATATGTGGGAGCTGGTTTCTACTAATGCTGAGAAAATCACTCATAACATGCAGGCCAGCTTGAGTGCAGCACACAGCATGCAGAGAAGGCCTTCTGATTTTTAAATGTTTGAGGTTTTGGTCTCCAGCTGTATTTTTGACTGTTCCGAGAAAATTTGCATAGAAATTGGGAGAGCAGATGTTTTATCAGCCTAGATTTGGTTTACTCTGGTGGTATATGCAGAGAATGATGAAGTGTGTACTTACATTGCATTATGGGTTTGCACATTATATTCTCTGGTCTTCTTAAATTTTGCTATGGCTTTTTGTCTTCTGAAGTCTAATGTCAATTTGGCAAGTTTATCTTCTTAATAGATCTACTGATTTGGCCAGTACAAAGAGGTGTGGATTTTGTTTTGTTTTTTACAATTCCTCAAGATGAAAAAAGGGGGTGATGCTAAATGTATTAACAGATTAAAAATTAAATTTATGTTCTATATCCTAAAGATTTTTGCACAATGCTTCATTTCTCCAAACTAGATCCTTGCATTACCTCAAAAAAACAACAAGGCTTGCATATTTCCAAATTATGATTTACATTTTCAAAACATATAATTTGATAATTCATTGAGATGTTTTTAAAAATCAATATAAATTGTTTCCAATGAACCAGGTTGCAAATGGCCATTTCTTTCTCAGTGACCTATGAAAGAGGTTAGTGTTTCAAACTAATGAAGCAAAAAATCCTATACTAATTGTTGCAGTGTGTACATTCCTTTCCTTGGCATAGCAGAAGTCATAAATAAAAATATCTCACTTGTATTCATTTTAATTTAAGATTTTTTCTTGGATAGTGAAGAGAAAAGCTGAACTGAAAAGAAGTAGGACAAGATTTTGGCATGGACACGTCTTTGCTTGAAAACAATTATTTGTGACATCTCCTTTACAACAGATGAAATCACAATTCTGAATCATAGTTTGTGGCTCCTATCATTTGAATAGCTAAAAACTAGCACACCTGGCCCAAAATATTTTTCTGCCTGAGGTACAGAAGTGTCACATTGGGCAAATTCAAACCAATTTATTCCAAATCCACATCAGACCACATGATGTTGAGTTGAGGCAATTCTAGAGTGGTTCTGTATCTATGTTGAACAGCACAGGGAAAAGAACCAAGTCTTGAAGAAGCCTGTAGGCCAACTGCATTTATCCTTATACCTATTTTGGTTTCTCAGTGCATCTGATTGGGGAGCAGGATATATGTGGCAATCTAGATTTCTAAGTATAAGCTCATATTCAAAGTCTGAACTGAACTGAATTCAGTCTGAGCTGGTCCAGAATAAACCAGATCTGAATCCAAATCACTAAAGTTGATCTGAAACTGAAGCAGGGGCTGTTGGACAGTTCTCTGTTAGAACTTGGAAACATGAGGCAGAAAATCACACACACTTCATTTCAAATAACAACAGTATAATTACTCAATAACTTTCTGAACTTTAATTCTATTGCTGTTCCAAAATATAGAATCAGTGATATATATCTTAAGTTAGCTCAATACTATTTTATCTAGAATCTGGGATGCTCCAGAAATTTAGCAGGGATCTTTTCCAGACTTGGGACTGGAACAGACTGGCAGTTTCATGCGGCTTCAAGCTGACTTGGGCACATGGCATTTACACGCTCCACGCCCCCAAGCCATCTGGAAGCTTGCTGAAACTGCAGTGTGGTGGCTTCAGTCTGCCCCAAATAGGAGCGGCTCTTTGCCACTCTGATTTGGGCTGGATTCTGGCTGAATTGGGGCCATGGCATGTGCTTGCTGTGGCCCCAATGTGGCTTTGTAAGGGTGGCTTCAAGCTGCCCCTTCAAGACTGTCTGTTTAGCCCCTTGGTTATCTGTACACAGAATTTTTTGGAATGGTATACAACTAAAGAAATGGAATGGAATGTGTGGGTTGTTAACTCTTTTAAAGGGAAACAAAAATATGCAAATATGAAAGTTAAACTTGTATGAGTTCAGCTTTCATCAGCAGAAAAAGCAAAAGTGTGGGTCAGACTATTTATTCTAAATCTGCCTTCCTAATGAATAAAGACTTACTAAAAAAAAACAACCCAAAAACATGCAGTATGTAGTTTAAAAACAAATAATAATTACTTTAATAAATAAATACATAACAAACTAAATCCTAACCTAACTGGTGATCATTTGGGTAAAGAGATGAAATCTCACCATCCTTAATATATATAGCAAGAAGAGACTTCTCACTCAGAGGAGATTGTTACTCTGTCTGAGACTGAGAGGAGACAGCTTAGAATCTTCAGAGAAAGTCTAGGCCTAAGCAGACTGCCAGAAATAGTGCACATTAAATTGAGGCACTGCCCTGGCTCAGTGCTAGAGAATCATGGGAATTGTATTTTTTTCTGAGACATTGAGCCTTCTCTGTCAGAGAGCTCTGGTGCCACAATAAATTACAGTTCCCATGATTCCCTAGCACTGAGACAGGGCAGTGCCTCAATTTAATGTGCACTATTTCTGGCAGTCTGCAAAGGCCCTCTGTTAAACAGTCTCCAAGAATGAGTGACAGGAGCCACATGTTTAGATAGAATGAAAAGATAGAGGGAAGTTCCTGTCTATCTAGAGGGAAAGGAGAATGTAATGCATAACATTTCCAAC